TTTTCTCAAGGTTGGGGTGAAGTGAGATCTCTCATCCACTTTTTCTAGATAGATATGCAACTCTAAGTTTGGTCTTTACCTATATGATCAGTAGTTGGAATATTAAAAACATCAACTCAGAAACTTGCCAACTACAGCAGGACCCCTAGTTCTAGTCCTCTTTGCTCTTCACCTGCCTTATTGTTACGCTCTCATCTTCTCCAGTTTTTCCTCCCCAGTCTGTCCTAATCTATACTCTGTCATCTCCTTAAAACATATCTTTCATCCTGTTATTTCCCTGCACAAAAGCCTTGGCATATATCCCCATTTCCTATCAAGTCCAGTCCAAGATCTTCATCAGTCCTGCATTCAAGACTTTTCCAAACTTAATTCCCACTCTCTCCTTCTTCAAGCCAGTGCAGCAGCCAAATTGAGATATTTAAATTTTCTGTTATCTGTTTTATGCTCTTCACTGTTATCTTTGCTAATAGGCTTTATTCCTGGTATTGCCTGCTTCTCTGTCTCTATGAGCTCAATTCCTATTCATTCTTCAAGTCCAGTGGAATGATCACCTCCTCCATTATCACCTAACATTATTCCCAATGCTGTCCCCTCACCATCCCTTCTCCACTGGCTCCTGCCTCAGATCAAAAGCCGTCTCTTCTTCCACTGAATTCCCAAAGCATTGCTCTTTTGCAACATATCACTTTCTGTCTTACACTGCAGTTATGTTTTTTACATGCCTGTGTCCCTAAAAATACCATAAGCACGTAAAGGGCAAAGGTTGAAATCTTGCTCGTCTTTACATCCCCTGTGGTATCTCATAATACTTAAATTTAAGCTCCATCGCTAGATTCTACTAATAATGAACTATGTGACCTTGCGCAAGTAATGTAACCTGTTTGAATCAATTTGTTCATAAATCAAAAACATGTTCTAATTTAACAGTCTTAATTTGAGACGGTTTAAATTACATATTCCTGGAACTGCACAAGAAGACTTGAAAGCACATAAGAAAGTAAAGATTTCTGCATAAACTCTACAAGACCTAAAATTATGGCTGTATTAGCTGTTTCCACTGATAAATTCCTGCAATTTTTTTTTCTGACTTATTTGGATCAATATTGAGTGGGGTGGCTGTACCCTTTCTGGCTATCATTGCTACATCAAGTGTCAGTGACATAATCCACTCCTTAACTCTTAATTAGTGTAGCATTATGTTTGTGTGTTTGGAGGGACTCATTCATTCACTCATTTATTCCATGAATATTTATTGAGTATCTATTAACCAGGCATGCTTCCAGGTGATGAGCTCTCACATTTAGTGAATGGAAGAGAGGAGGAGAGAAAAGCTGGTGTAACTAAAGGAAGATTTTTCCTATTTTAATTATTCTATACAATCTCTCTCTCATTAGTAGATCATGAAGGTTTTAGACCAACTATGTTACGCTAAGACTCAAAGCAAACTCTCCTATGGTTAATGTTTCCTAAAAGCAGAAGAAAAATGCCTATTTTTTTCATTTGTCCAGATAATGTAGGGGAGTGAGTGCAAAGTGCTTCCACTCAATCCTTCTAAAGATAATACACTGGAAACATTTTGATGGGTGTGAATCACTCAGACAAGCATTCTTCACTCAAAAATAGAAACTTGCCTTATTTGTTCCAGATGTTATACAGCTGCAGGGAAGTTGAAGCCAGTGGTCCTGTTTTCAATGCAACCAAACTCTTATTGCATTCGGAATTTCTTAACCAATGAACTCAGATTACTTGTTCTAAGACCTGCACAATTTTCTTTTTTCCACTGTTACCATTCACAAACAGCTAAGTTTCATGGGAACCATGCTTCAGAATTAATGAGTCTACAGCTGTGTTGTACAAAGAAAATACATCCTGTTTATCACTGTCTCCTCCTTTCATTTATCTTGACTTTAATTTTAAGCATAAAATATTTCAAAGAGAGTACTTGAAGGAAAAGAAAAGGAGAGTTGAGTTGTATTATTCTTATAATATTTTAGAGCACCTTAACTATGGAGTTATAAGAAGGTGCTCATCTTAGGAAGAATTTCTAGCAAAATTATTAACAAAAATATTGTGTATAAAAATGTATTTCTTATCATTGTGCATTTGTAGTTTTAAAAACTTGACATTTTAGCGTGTTTTTTAATTCTTCTGTAGGTCTGTAAGAGCTGCCTTGTGAATGTATGAAATATAAAAGGGTCATGACTCTTTGGAGAGGGTGAATAAGTTAAGAAAATACGTAGGAGATGTAAATGCTAATTTTATATCTAGTCCATAAAAATGAAAATACTTGTGTTCTGTTTTGTTTGAGAATACTTATGTTTGAGAACAGAGTGCCAGATCTCTTGAGATTATTGTCTCTTTATGGAGAAGGTTTTCTCAAATTGTGGTTCATGGACAATCTGTAGCACAATCACACTGGCTTGTTTATGAAAATATGTACTTCTGGGCCCAGTTCAGTCCGAATCTCTGGGAGTTGGACCTGGGGCTGTAGAGGGACCCTGGAGATCAGAAAACAACAATAACAACAACACTCTCATCTTCTAGATGTGACATTAAAGCCCAGGGAGGTTAAGTGAATTTCTCAAGGCCATGCAGTCAGTTAGTAGTAAAGTAAGGCCTAGAATTTCATTTATTGGTGCTGAGACCAACATTCTTTTCCAGCAAGTCAGCTATTAATTTTTATCTTCAAAAAGATAGAATTCCAATAGAATTTAAATAAATATGAGTATCCAAATATTTCAGGTGGTCCACCCAGTAATTCTTGACTCTTATCACCAATTAACTAAATCCTTGTTTTTTCTCCAGGATTTGGAAGTACCTTTCCTTCAGACTAATCGTGAATCTTTTGAATCATCATCAAAATCTTCCAGAAAAAAAGAGGAAAATGTTATATTTTATGTGTTGTTAGCTAATTCTTTGAAATCTCATGATTGATTATTTTGGAAGTGAGTGTTTTAGTTAAAGTTATTTGAACCATGTTCAAGTAATAGTTTGCATTCAATAACGATTCCATAAAGACTATAAAAACTATAATTCGCGACATACATTCTTGAAGTATTTATATTCCATTAGGTAAAACAGAGCCCTAAAATAGTTTGTGTGATGTCATTCAAAACGTATTCAAATATTTGTTTCACACATCTTAATGGAGCTATTAATAATTTTATATCTTTTCTTTTATGTATAGTTTTGCCTTCTAAAAGGAAAAGACTCTGTGAATGCTATTTATTAAGTTTTCTGTACTTTGCCTAAACTGATAATATTTTGATGCCTGTTTAGGATAAGTAAAGAGGCATCACTAGAGAAAAGTTGTGCTGTAAACTTCCCTGGTATTCATGGATTCATAATGAATATGGCGCTAAAGATTTTCAGGTCCAGTCCTTCATTTTACTACTGAGAAACCTGAGACCAAAACAAGAGTAGTGTTTTTTGAAGGAGATAGCATTGTGTCAGAAACTGCTAGTTGTCTACCCAAACCGCTCTTCTCCCTTTCCCAGAACTCCTGTTTTCAGGAGTTTCAAGGCCACCTGAATAAAGATTACATTTTCCTAGAGAAAGCAAAATACCATATGATTTCACTCATATGTGGAAGATAAAAAACAACAACAACAACCAAACACATAGTTATAAAGAATAGACTGGTGGTTACTAGAGGGGAAGTGGGAAGGGGGGAAGGTTGAAAAGAGTAAAAGGGCAAAAAAAAGATTACATTTCCCAGCCTTTTGTGTAGCTAGATATGGCCATATGACTAGGCTTTTGCCATGAAACATAAGTGGACATTTGTGTGGTAGCTTTTGGGAAACTTCCTTAAAAGGGATGTCCTTTGCACCCTCTGAGCTTCCTCCATGACTTCTGTTTGGAATGTGGTTGTTTTGGCTGGACATCTATTTTGGCCCATGAGGATGAGGGCCACCCTGGCCCAGATGACTGTGTAGCTGCCCTTCCAACTTTGGGCTGACACTATGTAGACTCACACATGGGAGAGAAAGAAGCTTCTGTTCTGTTTAAGTCACTGTCTTGGGGTTTCTGATATTTGGAGCTGTATGTGATTGCAGGCAATAATTCATTTCTTGCTACAGAATTTCATTCTTTGAGCACATAGTTATTGAGCGCTTTTTATGAGCAAGGAACTGTACCAAGTGGATATGAAGCAAAAATCATTTGATTTTTGATTGTGAATTTCTAAAAAGTTTTTGAAACCAGAATCCCCTTTTCTTTTGGTCCATCCTTGCCCCTATCCCAGGCATAGCACACAATTTCTATCCTTTCACTATGAAGGAATATTGCTCTTGACTTTGAATTTTAGATTGATGCTGTCATGTGAGTAACGAATTTTTCAAAAGTTAAAAAAAAAAAACCTGTGCAACTCATATGATTTTAAGTAAAGTTTTAACCTTCACCCCCAAACATATGACAAGTCAAGGTTAAAAAAATCATGATTCAATGCAGTCTTTGAAAATATGTAAAATATAAATATTGTCCTTGAACAAATTCAAAATATCATGGGACATGTCTTTAAAATATTTAAAGAAAATGTATTTTCTAAGTTAACACTTCGAAATACACGAAAGGCCATACTGTTCAGTGTTAGTCACATATAAAAAGGGATATTAGAATTCTGGGTACGTATGTGAGGTGAGGGTCTCCCTTCCCTAAATGACTCATCTCCCCATTTAGAGCAAGAAGTGACTGAACATCCCCAGGATCAGAGCAAACAAATGCATTGTCCACTAGCTCCCTGATCTAATTCTGCTACTAGGTATGGAGTAGTCTTCCTACTTGTAAATTCTATTTAAATTCCTCCCAAACTCTTCCTTATTGATTTCTGACAATTTATTGTTTTGTAGTTTTTTCTTTAATAGGACATACTCTAAGTTTCAACCTAGTTTTTCATTTCTAGATTTAAAAACTTAAGTGTGTCAAATATTTAATAGATTTTTGAATAATGATAGAAATACAATAAAATTTGGAGAGATATATAAACGTAAAACTAGACTTGCCTTTGGGTCCACATTGAGAATTTTTCTGTCTCTCTGGTATTTGAAAAGTAAGCCTTCTGGATTATCAGCAATCACTTGATAATTGGGAGTTGAATTCCAAACAGCAATATGACTGTCCCAGTTGTAAAAGCTATAGAGATAAATATTTATTAGGAATTAATATGACTAATACATTAAATTGACAAATATATTTCAGAAAATATTTGGGGCAGTTCAGTTTCAAGATAAATGGATGGGATATAGTCTGTATAATCAAGTAGAACACATGTGTGATTAAAATTCTTGCAGACGAGATTAGACTGGGTTATTCTCAAATCATTTAGATACATATTTATGACTATTTTGCATGATTTCCTGGTTTGGACACTCTAGGACTAGACCCTATTCCAATATTATATTCCCAGGAAGTCAAGAAGAAAATTGATGCAATTTAAAGCTATTTCTTCTAGCTCAGGCTCTTCAGGGTATTAAGAGTATTCAGGGTATTAAGAGACTGTTTACCAGAAGGAAAGGCAGGCTAAGTCACCTCTTTTCATTCAAAACAAATTAATTTATTTCTTTCAGGCTCTATTTTTCAATAATATGTTTCCTAGGGAGTGAGGAAACTATTGAGTTCGAGAGGTTACCATAGGCCAGGCATGATGTGATGTATTCTGTCACAATACCCACATGATGTTGCTCTCATTTCACAGACAAGGCAAGTAGACTGGGGAGGTCAACTAGCATGGTTAAGGCCCTGCAACTAATATGTCATAGGACTAATATTGCAACCCAGATCTGTGTGTTTCAAAGGACACATGTGCTCTGTCTAGTGTTTAACATTGCCTGCATTTTATCCTTTGTTTTGGTTGATCTTCTATGAAAACTTTCTATTTTTTCCATGTCTTCTTTTATACCTATTTGTCAAAAGTGAATATAATACTGTCTTATGAATTGGAAGAATCCTCAAAACAGTCATGTATCACTTAATGATGGGCATATGTTCTGAGAAATGCATCCTTAGGTGATTTCGTCGTTGTGCGAACATCATAGAGTGTACTTACACAAACCTACATGGTATAGCCTACTCCACACCTAGGCTATAGAGTACTAATCTTATGGGACCACCGTCATATATGTGGTCCCTTGTTGACTGAAACGTTGTTACGCGGTGTGTGACTGTATACTTATTTTACATATATTATTCCTGTTAACACATTTCTAATATAATGTTAACATGTTTAAATATTAACACATTTCTAATATGTCTAATGTTATCCTTTTTCTGGGTATTTTGCCCTCTATGACTCCCCTTCTTCATTTTTTTTTAAAAATTTTATTTGTTTATTTATTTTTTTCCCCCAAAGCCCCAGTAGATAGTTGTATGTCATAGCTGCACATCCTTCTAGTTGCTGTATGTGGGACATGGCCTCAGCATGGCCAGAGAAGCGGTGCGTTGGTGCGCGCCCGGGATCCGAACCCGGGCTGCCAGCGGCGGAGCGCGTGCACTTAACCCCTAAGCCACGGGGCCGGCCCCCCTTCTTCATTTTGAAAGAGTAGATTTCTTTGATTAAACTCACTCTGAATTATATCATTTTCTGAGGCATCAACTTTCATGCTTTTACCTGAAAATGTAATGTTTACCCTCAAATTTCTCAGTATTCAGAAAGGACTGATTACATAGATTATATATTTGTATAATTGGGGGTCGTGTTAGTGAGAACTACGGCTCTTTTGTCCGCTAGTACTCTTTCTATGGTCAGACATAGGAGTGCCTGCCCTTTCTGAGGCACAGAGTTAGGAAAAGTGGTTTTCCAAACATCTTTGTTCAGTCGATCCTCCCCAAGAGAGCGGGAATGACTATCTGATTGGTGAATTGAGGAAAGGAACTGAGCATTCATGGTCCTCCCTTTAGCTAGCTGTCATAAGTGAAGTATATCATGGCAGGCTCAGCCTCCAACAGGGCGATGGTAGGGTAGCAGCCTATAGTCCTGGTGATAAATTCAATCAGTGGTGAAGGTATTAGGAGCCAATTTGTCTATGCACCAAGCTGGGCTCTCCAATTCAGTTAAATCTATAATAAGAAGATAATTTGACCTCCATCTTTCTGGCTGTTCAGTTAGGAGACTGTCAAATTGCAATAGGGGAAAGGGGTATGATTCTAAACCTTACACAGAAGTCTCTTAAATAATTATTTCTGAGATATATAGATATAGATAATCCCAGTAAAATGCCTGAGTCATAGCTATGCTTAGAGTGGCATGGTTTATATCACACATTCCTATCTTGTTGCTCAGACTAAAAGCGTTATTGAAGTCCAGGCAGATTTTATATATCTAGTCTTTATATAAGAAAATTAATTTGTGTAGCACATGGTACTTTTTTTTCTATTGAGGTCTTAATAGTTTATAACATTGTGAAATTTTGGTTGTATATTTTTGTTTGTCAATCACCATATACATGTCTCCTTTCACCCCTTGTGCCCACTCCCTACCCCTCTTGCTCCTGGTAACCACAATACAGTTTTCTCTGTCCATGTATTGGTTTATATTCCACATATGAGTGAGATCATATGGTGTTTGTCTTTCTCTTTCTGGCTTATTTCACTTAACATAATACCCTCCAGGTCCATCCATGTTGTTGCAAATGAGACGATTTTGTCTTTTTTTATGGCTAAGTAGTATTCCATTGTGTATATATACCATATCTTCTTGATCCAATCATCAGTTGAGGGACACTTGGGTTACTTCCACTTCTTGGCTATAGTGAATAATGCTGCAATGAACATAGAGGTGCATAAGCCTCTTTGGATTGCTGATTTCAGGTTTGTTGGATAGATTCCCAGTAGGGAGATAGCTGGATCATAGGGTATTTCTATTTTTAACTTTTTTGAGGAATCTCCATACTGTTTTCCATAGAGGCTGTACCAGTTTGCATTCCCACCAGCTGTGTATGAGGGTTCCTGTTTCTCCACATCCTCTCCAACATTTGTTGTTTTTTGTCTTGGTGATTATAGCCATTCTAATGGGTGTGAGGTGATATCTTAGTGTTGTTTTGATTTGCATTTCCCTGATGATTAGTGATGTTGAGCATCTTTTCATGTGCCTATTGGCCATCTGTATATCTTCTTTGGAGAAGTGTCTGTTCATTTCCTCTGCCCATTTTTTGATCGGGTTGTTTGTTTTTTGTTGTTCAGTTGTGTGAGTTTTTTATATATTATGGAGATTAACCTCTTGTCAGATATATGTTTTGCAAATATTTTCTCCCAGCTGGTGGGTTGTCTATTCATTTTGATCCTGGTTTCATTTGTCTTGTGGAAGCTCTTTAATCTGATGAAGTCCTTAGCATGTGGTACTTTTGATGAAGCAATTTGAATTGCTCGTCAATACTTTTGTTTTCCTAGGCAGGGATGGGAAAAGTTTCATTTCACATGCCAATTATAATAGCTAACAATTATTTAATAAAGAAACTAACATGTATTTAATAAGTACCATGTGCTGGGTACTGTTCTGAGCCTAATGAATTTATAATCTCATTTAATCTTATCACCAACCCCATGAGTAGGTATAAAATTGTCTCATTTTGTACATGCAGAGCTCAGGTGATCCTGAAGTGTACTTGTGGATGAAAATGAGGGACTGGATTTGAGAAGATACTAAAAAGTGGACTTAACGGTTATGAGAGAGAGAGCGACAAAATAAGAGTGTAGGATTCCTCTCAGATTTCTGGTTTGGATTCCTAAGTGTATGGAATTACTTACTAGGATATAAAATATAAGAGGAGGAACAGATTGCGGGTGGGGTAGGCGTTCTGTTTTGGATATGTTGAACTTGAAATCCCTGTGAAACATTCGAGAAAATGAAAGCGAGGATCTTGGTTTGTGTTGTTTACTGCCCTATTTCCAACACTTCCTCTCAGTCCATGCCTGACACGTGGTAGATGCTGAATGCATATTAATTGAATAAATAAATAACGGATGAACTTCTGAACTTTAGAAAGTTTTCTAAGATCAAGTAATAGATCTGGAAGTATCAGTGGTACTTAAATTCAAAGAGGTGGCTGAGATGGACAAAGGAGAACACAGAGGCAAGGATGAAATCTGGGGACATCAATTTATAGGGATGAATGAGGAATCAGCAAAGGAGAGTAAACAACAGTGATGTGAAGCATCAGAAAGGACCATGAGAGAGTTATTTTGTTGCAAAAACTGAAGAGAGGAGAATATATCAAGAAAGAGCACTTTAAGAAAGGCTACAGTGCCAAATGCTTCATAAATTACGTAAGGTATGAAAAGAGTCCATCAAAATTTGCACTCGGAACGATGTTACAGGGAGAGCAGTTGCAGTGGAATGGTGGAGCAAAATTCAGGTTATGAGAATTTAAGGGAAGATGAGAAAAGATTACTGGATAAAAATAATTCCTTAGAGAATTTAGTTGTGAAGGGAACAAGGAAACTAGGACAGCACTAGAGAGGGGGGAAAAAATTAAAGTCAGTTTTTGTGTGTTTTTTTAAGATGGAGTATTCTTGAATATGTTTCTATGGTGTGAAGAGGGAAAAGTAGAGAAAGCAGGACCCTAAAGGGGCAGGAGCCAGCCCTGGTGGTCCAGTGGTTAAGATTCGGTGCTCTTACTACTGCGGACTGGGTTCATTTCCTGGTCAGGGAATCACACACCAGCCTGTCGGTTGTCACACTGTGGTGGCTGTGTGTTGCTATGAGGCTGAAAGCTATGCCACCGGGATTTCAGATACCAGCTGGGTCACCCATGGTGGGCAGTTTTCAGCGGAGCTTCCAGACCACACAGACTAAGAAGAAGGACCTGGCCACCCACTTCCAAAACAACTGGCCATGAAAACCCTTCGAATAATAGCTGAGCATTGTCTGATGGAGCGCTGGAAGGTGAGAGGATGGTGCAAAAAGACCAGGCAGGGTTCCCTCTGCTACACAGGGTCACTAGGAGTCAGAATGGACTCCACAGCACTAACAACAAAAAAAGAGGCAGGAGCTGTAAAAAGGCTTTATCATAAAAAATTATATATGAGAAGATGTATCTCATATGCAACAGCACTACGTTATTCCTTTATCTATGTAAGCTAATCTGATTTTAGTAAGAGCCCTGCATATTATTTATTACTACTCATATTATATAGAT